CCATTAAATAAAATCAGTTTTAATGCTTGCATGGACTGTGGCCACTCTGATGCCTTGCAGGTCTGAAAGACTGGATCAATCTAGAGAATACTTGACACATACCTCATTTACAGGAAATCCAGCATATATATATATATGTATGTACCAAAAACAGTGCTTGCTAAACTTTTGAAAACGTACATAGAAGAGTTAAACATAAAGAAAAGGGCAATTTTCAGACTCCTGATTCTGCTTCCCGGCTAGAGCTGAGTCTAAGCCCAAGAGATTTTGTATACAGAGAAGTTTTTTCTTCCCTCTTCCTCTGTGCACAGCAGTAAGAACTAGTGAAAAAGACTATGAACACACTGCAGGAGTAGATGATCATCTTTTCTGTGTATTTCACAACAGTGTATGACCCAAATTGGAGCAGAGGGTCTCAGGATTCCCGAGTCTTAATTCTGTCACAGTAGCAGCGTCACTAATCACTTGGCAAATCTAGTTTGAAGTGCATTACAGGACTGTCCATTCAGTTTGCTTCAGTCATGTGATGTAAAATAATTTCAGTAGAAATGCTGAGGTCAGAAAGAATAATTTCTATGGTGGGGAAAAAACCCCCCACAAACCAAAACCAAAACAAAGAATGTGTCAGATTTCTTATATTGAACGTGTGAACTTAGAGAACAGTGTCTGACCATTATTAATATGATGCTCCCATCATTGTCCAGTCCTGTGTAAATATAAAGGTTTATGATGCCCCAGTTTTCCAAACTGTAAGTAACCGTAAGTTGACATTTTAAGGAATTGCACCAAGCAAAATCAAACTGCCATAAAGTTCATGGGCGGCACTAATTGTAATTTAACTGCATGGTTATTACAAGAGCTTTTAATTAACCCAATCATCATACTGTGGCATACAAATTGTGCATAATAGCAGCATGCTGAGTATAATGACAATAGGTTTTTCTGAACTGTAAAAATCAGGAGTTTTATAATTTTCTGATGTTTCCTTTTATGTCCTTAAATATTGTGCAACTCTTAAGAACATTTCACCAAAGGAAAAAAAATTCCTAGTAAGATACTGAGGCTTGTCTATTTTAAAATTTTATAGCAGTCTTTAATTCTTCCTGAAATTCAGTGAGATGTGTAATTTTCTCCTGAATAATATTTCTGGTGATTTTTCAGTCTCACTTTTCTCAGGGTATTTTTGATCCCCTTTGAGGATTTTACACACTCTTCAGTGATTTGGTTTCTGAAGCCAAAAAAATCCACTCAGTTTGTGGAAACATTCAGAAGGGATACCATTCTAGTGAAACTGGAAGATAATAAGAAAGCATTCTACTCAGATATTGATGCAAAATGGTAATTTATTAGTTCATTCCCCTTCTCTTAAAGTTATGATTCCAGTCAATGTCTCTCAAGACTAGCAATAATAGCACTACATGAATTTTTACTTGCAAGGTTAATTTTGCAGCCCAAAGACTAAAAATTAAGAAACAATGCAGCTAATAGTTGTAGTCCTTCAGAAAACACAGGAAATACAACTAGGTGGTGTTACATTTACCACAGATACAAAGAATGCATTAAAAAAAAAGCAACAGACATGATTATGGAAACTGTATTCATCTCTTTTTTAGACTATCATCAGCCCTGTACTGGGAAACAAAATGTTGAAATATTTTGATTATAAATTATTTGGCTCACAGACAGAACAGGCACCTGAAGGCAAGATAAGAGTATATGACCATTTCATGTACACAAGTTTACTGAAAAAACCAGGTGGTAATGAAGACTAGGCTAGTGTGGGAGGCAGAAGTAAATTTGTCATGCACATACAGTTAATGATTTAAATGTTACATAGAAGTGACAGACACTACTGAACAGTTAAAAAACCCAGGTTGGGTTCAGCTGGGTGAGCCATAAACGTACCAAACCCACAAAGAAGAACCAACAGAGTTGGTCAGTCAGTGGTGCCTGGGGTTTGAACATCAGAGATATGAGAAAGATAATGGAGAGGATGACATTACCATTGTACAGGCTGAAGTAGCTCATTCTGAACAAAGTATGTCTGAATAAGTAAGTGACTCTGCTAAAGACTGGTAAGCTAACTTTGTACTGTTGCTGTTATTAGCAGAACTGAGTTCTCAGCAGTATGATTACTGTCATGCATATCTTTGTGAGGATGGCAGAGGTGTACATGGTGCTGGGCAAATGCTTTTTAGTAGAATTTTCAGAATTTTTAAACACTGAGAAAAAATCTTAAGTTCTTAAAAAGACATTTCAGATAATTACTGGCTTTTAATGTTATTTTTATGTATAAAGTTTACCCAGGATTAATTTTTAAGAAAGATTTTATATTTGGAACTAAGGTTTGTATTTACATGTATCAGTGAATGCAAATTTCCTAGTATTGCACAATGCATTTCTGGAGACATTGACTCAAACAGAACAGAGAGAAAAGCTGTTAGACAGTACTTTGAAAAAACTGTTTATATGTATAACACATATAAAACAAGTATCATGCATATTCCAAGGCACTATGACTGTAAAGATTTTTTTTTTTGTTCCTATTAGAGTAAAATATAACAAGACTTTATTGTAAATTCAGGAAATAGATAACTGTGGATTCTCTTGTTTTCCTAGGGAAGCTGAATGTATATAGAGGTGTTTCAGTTTATTGTAACTGGAGGCAATTTATTTATTTATTTATTTATTTAATTTTTTCCCCTTGACCTGGTACTCATCTGTTTAGGGGCTGTATTAGCCAGTGAGTCATCTCTACCCTATTTCTCCTCCCCTCACAGGCTCCCACCCTGCAGTCAGTCTCTGTGAGTGTCTGGACAGTGAAGGTGCCTTGTTCAGATAGGCAAGGCACCTAAGACCTACAACAACCTACACACCTAATCCATGCCTGTCATGAGACAGAGTCTCCTTCCCATCTTGATCTGACTCTCACTCTCTGTTAAACCCTTACTTTTATTCTTGGTGAGACAGACAGTAGTTAAAGTGCATGGCAAGCTGGAACTGAGACAACTCAATCAATCAGTTGCTTTGTCATAAAAGCTGATCCTAAGCATAAAGCTTCCTGTGTCACATCAACGAGAATAAGAGAATATGAGAACAGTGAGACAAGTAAAAGGATGAAAATATTTTGTCCCTCTGGTATATTTGCGTTTCATTAGTGTAGACTGGTTGATGGGATAGGCTGCTGCAGAGGCTGGCAAAGTGCAGCACTGAAGGAGAAAACTCACATAAGGATGGATGAAGCCTAGAAAAAGTGTAGAGACTTAAAGGGGGGGAAGTGAGAGTCCAGTTAAGCTGGTGGAGTGTGCTATAAGGTACTCTGAAGAAGAGCTAATGGGGAAAATGGTGTGAGGGTGGTTGGAAACTGAATTTGAGGACAAGAGCAAATGTAGTAAGATGCTGCCCAAAGAGACACTGCTTCTGATAAGAAATTGTGAAATTAATACTTTAAGGGTTGTTTAAAGTGTAATCCCTTAAAAGACATTAGTCATATGTCCAGAGACGATTGTCTTGCAGGTAAATTCATGCATCTCATTTGAAGGGGATTCAAGCTATAACTTGGTTACCTGAGTTAAGACATGTGAGCCACAGCCCAAAAGGACTGTTCGGTTTCGAGTTTACTCTTGCTTTCAATATTCATGTGTAGCAATAATGCTGATTCTTCTTCTTTTCACTGGCCTAAGCAAGTACCTTCAATGAGTCTTACATTATCACCTCTTACACCATGCATAACAACAAACTCATCAAAATTGTGTTTATTCTATTTTAAATATTAAATATATTTCTTAATTAACACTACAGCAGTTCTTAGTTGGAAAGATGGTCCCTGAGACTTGCACTTCTCTCTTTTATGTATGATGATAACTTGAAAATGAGATTTATTTGCTTTCTCTGTTCCTACATGTGGGGATATTAAATGCAAAAGGAAACAGTAATCCTTGGTGTATAACATACACACTCCTTCCTCCTTCTCATGGTAGCTTCAAAAACTGGATCCCTGTCTTAGAGCCAACCACGATCTCCTCTCTCCCTTTCTCCTTTAAGAAAGTTGACCACCTGTTGAAACCAACTTTTCGTAAATCACACGCAGTGTTAGTTTTTCACCAGTGCCTGTGTACTAGTTTACACAAAATACATGCTGTTCAGTCTGCTTAATATCTTGTCTGATATGATTCCCAGCATGAACTATCTCTTACTTAATAAATATATGTGGCCCTAATTATTTTTATTCAGTGTCTAGGAAGAGTATATAGGAGAAGCTATATAGGAAGCTATAAACATGATTTGATATCCTCTATCGTACAAAATGCTCAGTATCACATTTTACAAAGAAGAAAATGGGAGTTCTTGTGAATTTGTATCTACTGACATCCAGATCAGAAAGCCAGACATGAAATGCCTTGATATTTTCAACATCTATGGTCCAAATCATTAAACTTACATCTTGGATCATTAAATTAACATGTTGCAATGTTGTAATGCAAGTTTCCACTATGCTCACTATTCACTATATGCTCTGTGTAACTGTGCTGAACATACCATAATAATTTATCAACCTTGAAAGAAATCACGAAGTTCAATGCATATTAAAAATGTCATTGGGATATATCACAGAAAAAATGGAAATATGCTGCTGTTCACAACACATCCTATTCTCTGAGGTAACTGTTACTGTCTGCATAGCAATACACTTCCCTTATGAAATTTAAAAAGCCACAATCAATAAAATACATGTGGTGACTTTCTTATACACCTGGTATTCCTTAAAAATTAGTGCCTTTATTATTTTTTTCCTACTATAAAATGACTAATTTTGTGTTTGTTCATTCATTACGGATATAGTGTTGAGAAGTATTATAATTAATTATAGTTTTCTTAGCTTAATGTCTACAGATCTTCCTCTCTGTTATTAAAATGGTTTTAAACTGAATTGAGAAATACGTAATAATTATTGTTTACATGTGTTCTTTCCTTCTTCTTGTGGCTTTTTTTCCGTTTAGGTGAAAAAGATATGTGGTCCTCCTGTAAGGAAGCCTACACAGTCTCCAGGTTGCTCCTTTGATCAGAACAAAGATAATCAAGGGTTGAAGATGTTCTCAAGAGACAGTGAAGAAATGCTCACCAACAGAAGAAAGTAAGACATTAGTTTTACAGCCAGAAAGAAAGACTAAAGTAAGCCATTAATTTTACAACAGAATAGATTATATTCAATGCAATGGCATGCATTACTAGAGAATAAAGACTCCAAAGAATGAAACATTTCAGCACTATCTATTCTGTTATGTTTTGGATTGAGTAATTTTATGACTAAATTTTGTTTTCTGAAATAATGGACATATGACCAGAGTCATTTGATGTGGTTTAAAGTATTTGAGTTGATAACATTGGTAGAATATGAATGTTAGCTCTATCTTTATGTGTAATTATTCAAATTACTTTTAACTTTGCACATCAGCAGGCAGTATTAAATCTGAAAAAAACTGACTGTAGCTTTTTATAGAAGACTATTTGTACAAGTTGATAGCACAGAAAAGAAGGCTTTTCTTACATACTTTTCTAGTTTAAAAAACGAGACAACTAAGCATTTGGGACTAAATCTTGAAAGTCCTGTTCAAGCAAGGCCTGTTAGTTTTTTCTCTCGCTCTTTTGCCAGTATATAGTGAATTGAGGAGACTGCAAAGGCTTGGAGATTTCATTTAATGTCTCAGCACTGCAGGGTGAAATTTGCCTAACTGCTTACGAGTTTAATGTTTAAGCTGCTGTTATAGTCTGTGGAAATGAGAACTCATTTCAGCTGCCCACGCATCTACAAGCATCCAGTGCCACTCAAGGATGCGCTGGGGTATCCCAACTGAGCTACTCCTGCCAAGAAGGATGCAGGTGTACTGTAAGTTGTTTCATTTCTTCCAGCTTTCTGCAGGTATCCTGCAGAGCTGAAAGCATCTCAAAGGCCAGTTTATATTTAGACAAGTGAATCAAGTTTTTAATGACTGTAAGTAGTAATAGCACTGTAAGACGTAAGGATAGTGTTGCAGTGAGACTAAAGGCCTTATTTTATGCAAATAAAGTACAAAGTTAAAATCAGAAGTTTCATTTCTGTCACAGTGTTTGCTAAAATACAGAGAAGTTTTCTTTCCTCTTTCTCCTCTCATTTTGTTTTGCAGTGCAGAAAGAAACAGAAGTGAGAAAATTGCAGGGAATAATTGCTCACTCCTGATGTCTGGAGAAGGAAAGGAGCCTCTGAGCTTCAAAGGCAGACCATTCTTTTTAGTGTAACAACCCTCATGTAGCAACAGTGGAGAAAAAACCCCAAACCAAAATACATAGCACAAGTTGTGGAAAACATTATGGGAACAGAAAGAGAAGTTTGCTTTAGCCAGAACAGAAGTTCATTAGGGAATACTCATTATACATTCACATGTTTCTCAGTTATGTGTAGCTAAGCAAGTTCTTGATGTTTTCTGATCACTAACACTCTGCAAACATGAAACCATGTTCTAAAATGTCACTTAAACCAAGATTGAACACTGGACTGACTTTAAGGGAGATATCCCGAGAGACCCTAAGGGGCAGGAGAAGACAGTTGGCAACACAAAGCAACATTGTTTTCCCTTGATATCTGCCTGCCTTGAGATTCTGGAGACCCTTTATAGCATGCCACAGGCTTTGCACCAGAAAGGAGGAAGGGAAAGAAAGTTTGAGATCCATTGGCGCAGATTTCAGTTTAACAGCTTCATAGTTGGTATCACCTGCAGTTACTGCCTCCTGAATCACCTCCTTCCTTATTAGTCACAATCACTTTATATTTCACTTTATATTCCCATGGCAACTGTAAGAACCTCACATGAAAGAGAGATTTCAGCAAATGCTTGCAGCCTGCTTTTAAGGAAGTGTTCTTCTTTAAGTCCACCTTATTTACTGCCTATGTACTTCTGGCAGCAGCTTGCTCTCAGCAACTTTCACAGGCTTTAGCAGAAAAGAATAGGCTTCTCCAAACTGGAGACTTTATCAATTACAGTTATCTGAGAGAAAACAAATAAACAAAAAAATTGCATTAAATATGTGACTCCTGATTTCCTAATGTTTTTCAGTTACATCTCCAGATGAAAGTTTACATTTTAAAGTACATGGTGAACTGCTTCTGCCTGAACTTTTCCTCAATTATTTTTACCATTGGACCTAAGCTGGTATTTTCTGCTACTGTGTGGTACAAGAAGAAAAAGAAATTTCTCTATGCTTTTCATGCCAAAAAATTGCTAGAGGAATTTTAAAAAAAAGCTAAGCAGACCCTTCCATAGCAACATACAAACTTGAAAGTATGTAATGCTTTTCCTCAGAACTTAGTATTGCAGACAGCTTTTAGCACAGAGAATGAGGAAAAAAAAAAAGAAAAAAAGAACATTTTCAAATAAACAGATAAAAAGTATCTTTGGCTTCCACTGACTGTAATTGCACATTTGTGCTCAGCTGCCCATAATTACATGCTATCTGGTCTCGAAGATGATGATGTGAAAATTGACATTCATACCATCTGCCCTTCTAACTGCTTTGGTCAGACATCAGTGGGGGCTGAAATCAGTTATTACTTCTCTATTAACTTTAGCTTTGCCTCAGGTTGTATTTACTAATAAACTGAATGACCTTTCTGTTAAAATGCAGTTTGCGACACGATATTATGCCAGCTATATTTATTTATTTCTGTTTCTTCTTCAGAAGAAATTCCAACTACTCACTTTGCGAGGACTCTAAACACTAGTTTTCATCCCAAATGTAAATGTAAAGCATAGACAAAAATGAAATCAGTCTCATTCAATAGGAATTGTAGGGAAATTGCAAACGCACTGTGCCTACTGGATTCAGTTTTGGGTGTGAAGAAATAAAAGATGTGACTATTCATGGCTAAGAGAGTGTGGATGAGTCATATTTACATATTTAAAATCTATTGCACATAGGCAATTATATGATACATAGTCAAAATTGACCATACATGAGATTTTTCATAACTGTAGTTTTAGAATTAGTAAAGCACTCACATCACATTTAATAGGCATAGTAAATCAAAATCACTGTGGTTTCTGTAAAATATTTGCCGTATTGCATGAAAGAACATACGGCTTTTTAAATGATGAACTGTCTGTAATCACTGATGTTTTATCTGTTTTAATTTGAAGTAAACAATACTTAATTTAATTCCTTATACCATTTTAGGCCTACATTGACAGAATATGGAGAAATATGTAGATTATTTCTGGCATTTTTTCTCAACTCCATATTCTATACAAGAAGTTAACATAAAGTGAAGCTTGCTGGGTTACAGAGCAATGAGTACAGCATTTGGTGGTGCTTTTCTGTGTGCCAGCAGGTCATAGATAACTCAGTAAAGCATGATGTTCTACACCAAAATGAATAAATATTTCAATTTTTCACAGCAGGAAGAGGTGTCCTAGGAAGAAATTTTCAATACATAAGCAAACAATTTATATAAAATATCACAATTCAGTTAAGAACATACTAACTAAAAAGTAATTAATTTGTTTTGAAGTAAGTACAAAACCTTATCATTAGCTCTGGGCATCTTGACCATTATTTAAAATAACAATACATAATTTATAGCATACCAGCACAGCACATGGTGGAACTGATGTAATCTTTCAGGCAGTTATTTAAATCTCCACTAAATATTTAACACCTACATCTTACCCATCTTACCTAAATCCTGAGTTGCTGCATAACTCTTAACAAATATTCATTGTATTATCTGTAAAGATGTGTAGGGGACTAGTTGATAGCTCTTGTGAAAAAGAGGTGACTTATTCATATGCACCTATTTTTTTATTTTCTATGCTGCTTTTTTTGGAACATTTTTTCATTTAATGGTCCAAGTATAGCATTACAAACAGTATCACAAGTATGCAAAAAAATTTCAGGTTGAAGGAAAATAGTTCCTGTTACAGAGCATGAGTAAAGTAGGTGTTTTTTTTTTTTATTTGATCAGTGGGAATATCAACTTTGTAAACTATAAAAGTGTATCTGAAACTTATCTAACAGGAAACTGACAAATTGATTTAAAATATCACTGGAACCAGTGGAGAGTAATGGAATAAGCACATTCCTTTTTTCCTTGTATAAATGCACAACAGTAATGTGTTGATTGACACTGCTTATTATTTCTCGTGTTCCCCTGTGCAGGGAATTTATCAGCCACCTCCGGCTCTACAGAGCCTTTTATGGTGGCCTGGCTGACCAGATGTGCAGTAACGAGTTGGCAGCTGCAGATGGACTCCCGTGTTGGAATGGAGAAGATGTCGTAAAAAGGTACCTTTCTGACTCTTGTCTGTTTTCTTTTTTTGTAAGTCAAAAAACTTTAAGGTTTTTTTAGTTTCTCTAAACTAGCTTCCGTTTGAGTCAAGTTGTTTCCCTCTGTCAATGTCAAGATTAGTTTGAAAAATAAATCGGCATGGGTTTACTTCTCTCAGGCTTCACCTGTAAACAATAAACAGTAAACAAAATCTCTCTGCATCTGTGTTTGAGGAAAAAAAAAGAATTCTACTGTTCTTCAGACATTTTCCCTTCAAATTTGCAGCATCTAAATAAACACTGGAAAAGAAGCTGGATTGGCATTTACAAAATACAGTTAGAGAAAAAGGATATGGGTTTTTGTTTCATCTTGATCTTTTTAAAATGCTCCTTTTAATGCAGAGTGTGTGATAACAGACTCAAGCTTAAAACTTTTTTCTGGAAGCAAAGAAGAACAAAGTAATCTCTTAATATATATTGTTTCTCAAGAGAGAGCTAAGAGTTAAAAGATGAAGACACATTTTAAAGGTGAAATGCATGTATTTTTTTATGTATGCAGCAGCTTGGCAGACATCACTCAGTAGCAATGGTAAAGAGATAATAAACTGCTATGCTCCTGGATGTGTATCTCTGGAATCATAGCTTATAAAATTTTGGATGGCAGAAAGACTTTCAGAGAGCTGGTGTCTATGTTTTTGCTTTATTGCTTTGATCACCAAAACAAATATTTCTGTGAGTGGGAAGTCGTTGTGATGACAAAGACCAAAATATGGAAAGGTTTATTGCAATTATTTTTATTCAAAATCATTATGTTAATGTGACATTAGTGGTATTAATAGGTAGTATCAAAGGTCTTATCAAAGAAGGTGGCTAAAGGCTGTGAGGTGAGTTAGTAGTGTGAGATAGCAGGTACCAAGTAGAAGGAACAGTGGGCAGCCTGCACCTTTAGGTATCTCTTAAAAAGTTAGGTAGGAACTGTCATTTATTTATTGATATCTAAAGAAATGGACATCCTTTCAGCAAATATCTGCAGGCCTACTTTTCTTTATCTTCTTGGGCAGTGCAGTGCTTCGGCAGCACCAAGGCCCAGTGAGCGTTTGACCCCCTTGGTAGTCTCGTTGGCAACCTTGGTCCAAAGATTTCAGCAATTTTCGGATCCACCTAAAGATATAACAGGGGACAAAAGCACTGTGTCTTAAAAGTAAGGCCACTTTGGTATAAGTTTAATTTATAAATTTCCTTACTAAAATGTTTTGTCTTCATATATATATTAATGTATCTATATTTATATTTTTGTCAGTAAATATGAGTGTTAGCTTCCTGAAGATCTGAGATGTAGATAATACTTAGAAGTAAAGAATGATGATTAAAACCAGAAGAGCAGGATACTCTGACACCTGCAGATTATTTCCTACATCTCAATACCTCTGCTTGTACACTAAACACATTGTAGTACATGTTCTTCTGTTTCAGTAGCTATATGACGGTGCTCAGATCTTTCCTCTTGCACCCTTTCATTTTGTCTTCTCATTCAGTAAAAATGCCCTTTGTTCAGTGCTACTTGTTTATATTTTTTCTTCTGTAGCGGAAGGGGGAAAAACTTCTAAGGTAAGGAATTTTTTACTATTATTACTATTACAGAAGTGATGATCCAGGTAAAAAATAGGCAGTCTTTTCTTTTTGTGTTTGGGCACATCTGTGTGCCTTCTGTGAAAGTAAGGCATATGCGGCACAAGCCTATGGGAGAGGAGCACATACATTGGGTGTACAGTATCTGGAGATTTCTCTTGGCCATGGAAAGTCAAACTCAGGATCAGAAACACACTCAAATTCTGCAAACTTTGAAACAAGGAAGTTGTATTTGAGCAAAAAAGTCTCCTGATCTGCCCCACAGATTGTGAAATGACATTTGTAATTGATTGATTGTATCAATCAATGAGCCAAGAGGTCTAATGAGGGATGACTAACATCAGAGGTGGTTGTGGTTGGGGATATTGTGAAGGGAAATGAAGATATCAGGCTTTGGGAGTGTGGACTGGAGGCTGTGAACGTAAGTGCTGTGTGGGCAAACCAGATTGAAAGGGACTAGTAACATGCAAAAAAACCCAAGGTAAGCAATTCAAAATTGTCTTGGTGAAACTGAGCCTGAGCCCAAGTTTAGCATTTTCAGGAAAACTGTGGCATACTCATAGAGTATTCCCAGATGTATTATAATCAATTGAGAACCTCTAGGAAATTCATCTTACAAAAAAAAAAAAGGAGTCAAAGAATTATATTTGTTTAACCTGGAAAGGAAAATATGTTAGGTGGAAACAGGTTGTTGCTAGCAGAAAGAGAAATGTCTATTAACTGCTTTCTTAATGGCTAGGACACATAGCAAACATTTAAAATATATTCTGCTTCAACATTAGGGAGAGTTTTCTAGTAGCAAGGACAGTAAGGGTCAAAAATAAATAGTTTTGTTGTCCAGCATCTGCCTGAAGAAGGATATTTAAGAACAGGCAAGGCACTGAGAAATGATGCAGCAAGAGCTGATTTTTCTTAGTGATACAAATTGGATAACCTCTTAAAATCTCCTCTAGCCCTACGATTCTGAATCTAGGATTATCTAAATCCTATGTTGTTCAATTTCTATTGCCATGATCCCAGGATATCGTGACATTTTAGAAGCAATAATGACCTGAGCAGGCTTCATCACTTTTCTCTCTAAATACTGAAGAACACCTCAACCTGCACACTAAGTCTCTTCTTCTTTTTTTCTTCCCTCACCCTGCATTTCCACTAGTATAGTAATAAGTAAAGATGTTGGTGAACTCATCTGTGCAGTGTTTCTGGCACTGATAGGGGAAAACCTGTATTGTTCAAATAAGTTAAATAGAGATTTGATAATCTCTATTTATCTCAATTAGATAAATTGAGATTCTTCACCCTTTCCCATCCATTTTTGCCTTCTGTTTAAAAAACATGTACCATAGTTGGTGATGACTCCAAGTTTGCACCTGACATGAGAAAACAACATCATAAACTACATAATGCTGGTCTATCAGGACCTGAAGAGATTGCTAAGACTGCTTGCTGTATGTGTATTTCAAGCTTCAAGTAGCAAAAAGCCCTGGAGACAGAAGACAGATACATTTTTAAAAGATCTTTGCAGTTCTTAATTTTCCTTTTCTGTTCATTTTCCTAAAGGAAGCAGTTCAAGGTTTTTAACAGCTATAATATTGTATATCAGATAAATCTTATAACCTTTGCCTTCTCTAATACTGTCTAAGAGATTATCAAGCGTGGATGGGAAAAGGTCAGAAAAAGAAAAAATGGGCATTACTGAAATAAAAGCTTACTTAATGGTTTACATTTCATATACTTCAGCTTTTTCCTTTTCGGCTTAAGACTTCTTTTTTTTTTTTTTAAATCACAATGACATGGAAATACGGCCCTTGATTCTGCACTAGAAATTGTTCTGGATCTAACCTGTCACACAGTACAGGCTCATGCTTTTATCAAAACCTGAGACCGGAATCCCCACATCCCTGTATTCCTGCCTGACAAGATCAGTAGCGGGCAAGACCACGCTCATGAGGTCCACATCACTGCAGCATGAGGGAGAAGACATCTCAGAGGAATCTCGAGCCCTTTTACTGTTTTACCCAATTGTGTGACTACAGTGGTTGGGCATGAAATTGAAATTCGAACTCCACTTTTAAAGGCATAAGCTTAGTGTCTGTGGTGGGTTGACCTCGGCTGGATGCCAAGCTGCTCTAATCACTCCCTTTCCCAGCCAGACAGGAGAGAGAAAATAAGCTGGAAAAGTGACTCATATGTTGAGATAAGGCAGTTTACTAAAGCAAAAGTGAAAGTTTGTACACACACAAGCGAAGAGGTAAATAACAAGGTTTATTCTCTACTTCCCATTAGCGAGCGGTGTTCAGCCACTTCCCGAGAAGCAGGGCTTCAGCACACATAGTGATTTCACAGCAGGCAGACATTGTAAACAGCAAATTCCCCCCCGTCCTGCTCCTTTCCTTAGCTTTTATATCTAAGCTGATGTCATATGATATGGAATATCCCTTTGGTCAGTTTGGGTCAGCTGGCCTACTTGTGTCCCCTCCCAGGATCTTGCCCTCGACTGGGAGGTGGGGAGGAATACTGAGAGAGAGTGCTGATGCTTTGCCAGTACTGCTCAGCGGTAGCCAAAACATTGGTGTGTTATCAACACTTTTCCAGCTACCGGTGCAAAGCGCAGCACTGTGAGGGCTGCTATGGAGAAATTAACTCCATCTCAGCCAGACCCAATACAGTGTCGTGGTGAAGAACCTGGAATTTAGTGTCATGGGATTCCTTAGTTTCAATGGAAAAAGAGGAATTGCAATTAATGAGTTATGCACTAACAATGCGTATGAGAAGAATTTCATGCATCACTTTGGAATTTTGGTTGCACCTTAGCATTAAAGCTAAAATAATGGGAGTGCAGATACACTGAGGTAGACAGCTTTCGTGGCCCAGAGAGACTGGCTAGAATGTGGAGGGAGATGGATTAAAAATCCACATAGGAGAGCAAAATAGGTACTGTACTTCTTGAGACCAGTGATTCAACTGAAACAAAAATAGATGTGAGAGAAAAAAATAATAAAATTATGTGTATTGAAGGATTTAAGACTAATGGAGATTATTAAAAACAGCTAATCAAGTTTTGAAGGAAGAGTTTCATATGAAATGCAAATCTGAAGTGTCCAAATTAAGAGAAATTAAACAGCATGATTGATTTTAATTGCTGAGCAAATTGTTAGAAAGTGATTATAATAAGCATCTATCATCAAATAAATGCTTAGCTTTAGCACAGCTCTTAGGCTGGGGGAAGGAATTTTCTCTTTTGATTCTTAAATATTCTGAAACAAGAGTACAATCCTGATTCTGTTCTTATCCAACAAAAGAAGATAAATGGTGTTGTAAGGAGATATAATGAATTGCTTTTAATTTTCTTTAATTTGAGCTAGTCATCACTTTATAATAAGGGAGAA